ATGAAATACATTGAGCTGAAAGGATAATCTTTAAATATTAGGTTTTACAAAATTGACAATGAATTCTAGTAAAGCATTTATTTTTATTTCAGATTGGTCAAGTGAGTAAACTCAAATTCTGTAAGAAGAGAAGAAAAGTTTCAATAAATGCTCAGTTGTGTTTTTTTTACATCTGAAAATAATTCAAGTAACAAAAGTATTTAAAAAATAGAATTATAAATGGTATTCATGCAATGATGGTGAAAAAAATCATTTGAAAATAATATGGCTTTGGTAAGTGTGTTTAATCTTTGTTGTTGTTATCACAACATTTAGACTGTTGTACCCTCTGACCTTTGGGTGTCTGTCAATCTGAGTAGCCATGTCTAGGGACATCTTGTCTCATTCTCTTTTTAGTACTGCTCAGTTATTGCTAGACATGGTTCCACTGAATCTATACTACTCAGCCCAGGGATTGAACTCAGAATCACTATGCGACCAAACCCACAAACCAACACTAATCCTTTTGGCTATTGTGCCATCAAAACAAAGCAAGTAGTAATAATAACTGAGCATTACTATAAAAAGTGAATGATGAGATATCCCTAGACATGGGCAGTAGAACAAAAACAATCCACCCTCATAGATTAAATAAAGGTTTGCATCTGAAATTTCCTGGAGGTTACACAAATTAAGAGATACCTGAAGAAGGTCAGAGAGCACAATAGCCAAAAGGGTATAACAACAAAAATGAGAACATCAGTCTGAATGTAAACAATATAAATGGCCTTGGCCAGAAATTCAGACAGAAAAGAATACTTCAGTTAGAAAATCTCACAACTATGATTAGGCAAGATCTTTCTAATTATTAGGAATTATTTATATAGAATTTTGCACAAAAAATTCTCTTCATCCTGGTTACTTCCTTACAGTATTGTTGCTGCTTTTACCTGTTAAAATTCAAGAATTTTACACTCAGTGAGATCTTGCAAAACTTCACAAATAATTACTGATACAAGGTTTTAGAGCTCAATCCCTCATGACGTATTATTGGAGATACATCATGAAGAATGTTAAAATTAAAATGCTAGGAAAAAGCTTGAGTTCTAAAGTAGTATTTTGAGTTTTGTTTTTAATCTATAGTAAATGACATCAATGACTTAAATTGATTAGCATCCTTCATACAAAATTGAATCAATGGTTAATGTATTTTTACAAAAGAAATTTGAAATGTAATGATGATATGGAAAAGGTTTTCATTACAAAAATTTAATTACAAAGAAAAAAATATTTAAATTTTAAGGTAATTATTTTAAACTAATGACCATTTGTTTTTGGGTCCCTTTTTGTTTGGTGGATTGCAAAAATCAAAACGCTTGAAAAACAATTTTACAAATGTTTTGGAAGGAGTGAGATTGTTAGCAAAATCCTCATAACAGAAATTGAAAATCAAGATGTTTGACAAAATTCTCAAAACTTGATGGATTGTGTTTCAATGCTGTCTGTTAATGAAATGCTTTTCGATATAATTGTTTTTTTTTTTTAAATCACAATCTCTATAGAATTTAAAAATTTATATTTTGAGAAATAAATTTTAGCAGTAAGAATTAGTCTAAAGTCAACTTTTTGTTGTTTTTTTTTTTAACAGTGAGTAAGATATAAATTGACTGAAATTAATGCTATTCTTCATACAATTCAAAATTATTTTCCAATTAAAAAAATGCTATCATTAACTGCACTTTTAATATTACATTCATTCACTAAACAGCACGTTTCCCATTTTCCCTTTCCTAAATATAAACACATTTTGAAATTCTTCTGTACAAATAAATGCATCCAATTTCTTCTATATTGAAATCTCTTTACTTAACAAAATATGTTAAAATACTATAAAAACTATTGAAACTCTAAAAACTACTACAAAAATAATGAAAAGCCTAAAAGTAGAAGATACCTACGTAATAAATTTGCCAAAAGCAATGATGCTACATATTTAGAAGTAGGTAATATTTATTAATAGAGTGTGTCATACAAATGCTTATCTAAGAATAAAAACTGAGCCTAAAAAATGGCCACAAAACACGTCAATATCATTAAATGTGAAATTGGATGGACTAAAAAATTTGTACAAATATAAACTGGCTATTAAGTACCAACTCAAGAGATCACCATTGTTTCAAGATCAGTTACATAATTCACAAAGCTATTTTAAATTCGTCAGAAATTCAGTGAAAAACTCTGCTGAAAAAGAGAAAAAAAATTAAAAGCATGAACAGCGAATAATCATTAAAAATTTGAAAGGGTCACAGGTGACTCAGAATTTTCTTTTTATTAAACATCAATTAAGAACTAATAAAGTGTCAAAACAGACAACTGAAAAAGTTTTTTTTTTGTTTTTTTTTTTTTAAATATCAAGTTTATAAAATCAAGTATAATTTTAACATCAAATAATGCATTAAATATCTTATGAACCCATCATTATTTTATAGGTAATGAATGATAGTGGTGAGTCAATAAGATCAACTAATAATTTCTTTTGCCAATTATAATATTCAAGCAAGAGTAACCTAGAATTACTATTGCAAAATGTATATAAAAAAATGTAAAGTTTGTTGGGAGGGAGTCAGTTTATTGTCAAATACAGATTCTATTTGGCCTTTCTGACTGATGACAATAGGAGAGTGGCTGGCTTGGAAATTACTTGTCACAGAAGCAAAGTTCCACAATGAACAAAATGCATATCAATTGATTTTTTTCTTCTTTTTGTTAGTCTCACTAGTTATCTGTTAGTAAAGTTAGCAAATGATAAGCTATGAGTCACAACATACAAACTGGATTATTAATTCATTTTTAAACTTTATATTCTAAAGATCACTCTGAAATTGGAATCAAACAAAAAAGAATGGTTTGAAAAAGAAATGTGTGGAAGAATTTATAAATCGTACTCTTAATTTCCAGAATAAATGGATATCCATATAATTATAAAGCTCTAATTAATATTTAATTTGAAAATAAAATTTGGAAGCTAAACAGATTATAAGATCCCCCCCCTACAAAATTAAGAGACGAGTATGGAAAATATACAAAACCAAGAGTATACCTCAAGTTTACTAGGAAATGCCATAAGGCATTTAACTAATACAATGTCAAACAAACTTAGTCAATCATTGTGACATTTTTTTTTAATCTTTGCTCAGTAAGTATTATTTCCTAATTGTTTCCATCTAGAGATCAAAAGAAATGACTATTATTCCCTTCAGACTTTGCTTTTGCGACCTGGACATTGATGTTTTGAAACTAACCTATTTTCCACCACAAACAGAATTGCTGAAGGAGAAGTTTCAAGACTTTCTAAAAATGTTCAGGCTACCAAAGATTGTATAATGATGGGAGATGATGGTGGGGGTGGGGGGATTCATGAAAGTAATTTACAGTATAAGCAAATATAAGATGAATATTATTAAATATTTGCAATGTATTAATGCAATTAGAAATCAGTTTCTTCATTCCTATACTACTGATAAGGTGAAGATAATTATTCATGACTAAAATAAAAATCTAATTATTTAAACTTAACCTAGATAAAAAGAAACTTTTTATACAATATAAAGTATGGATGTCTCTAATGAATTCTATTTTGAATTAATCAATTGTTTCCATATTTGGCCGTCTATGCTTAAATTTATTATTTTAAATAACTATCTAGAAATAATAAAACCTTTGTCAGAATATATCAATTGTATGACTTGCATTTATAACAAGTGCTGGTTTTCACTGGTCGATGCATAGTGAAATAGTAAAGAAAAAACAAAGTATTTATATTTACTGATTGAGCTACTATGTTATCTACAAGAAGTTCAAGCAAAATGGTGGTGACAAAATGAAAAATAACAAAAGTTAAAAATACTTTTAATGTGAAGAAGTTATATTTTTAGGTTCTTCATTTACAAAACTGAATGAAGATGAAATATATGCTTAGACGTGTTTTTCTTTTTATTTTGTGCATGTGCAAAGATTTTCATTAACAAATTTACAAAGCAGTGAAATAGATTCACTCAATATGACCAAACACAACAGAACAAAGCCATTGTATGGAAGCATGGTAAGGGAAAAAAAAGAAGAAGAATTTTAGGTATTTTTGCAGAAGTGCTTCAAAACATGGCTGTTGCTTAAACATGTACTTCAGATAAATTAGATTCAAAATCTTATGAAACAGATAACTGAAAAATACAAAGTTCTCATGACAGTCTCTTATTTTTCTTTCTATAATTATATTTCTAAATAGATTTCCATTAACAAGTTGAATCAACATTTAATATCAGTTTTTTTTTTAAATTATTTCAGACTTATGACAGGAAAATTTCACACAGTACAAAAATGAAACAAAATCCATGGGAAATTGGTAACAAAAAAACAAAATAAGCTTTTTTTTTTAGATCATGTCCAGCAAACAATTGCAAATAAGAAAAAAAGGCAAGATATAAAGTAAATAAAAATGTGTTGGGGGTTTTGCCATGACAGAAGAGCAATACCATGAATTCAATATTATAAAACTGATTAAGAAGCTTTGGCTATGGTGATAATCAGCCATGCAGTGGTCAAAAATTAACTGAGACAAGATTGGTGATATTTTCAAAATAACATAATTAGTATTAAAATACATAACAACATTCGCAAAATACAGATTAAAGATTTGACCTTCCATTAAGAGCAAAATTTCATACTAAGACGTTTTACTTTTTCTAAATGTTAGACTAGTATTTTTTCTAAGTCTGTACTGTTTTTCATTCCGTATTTTTTTTGTAATTTTAGAAAACACCAAAATCTTGCAAAGCAATACTGACTATAAATATGAAAATAAAATACAAGAAAAAAAAAAAGAAAAAAAGAAAAGAAAACTCTTGCATATGGCTAAATAATAAAATAAGGAAGTTTACATCCAAAAGAAAATAGGCTCAAAAGAAAAAAACTGAAATTAATTTGTGATGCAAATGAAATGAATGCATGTATTCGCTACTTACCAGGGACCTGGTCAGGCTTGACAGCAAACAATGAGGAGAAAGACCGTCTGTGTCTATAGTCTGCCACAGGCAACTGGACAGTCAAGTAATGGCGGTCAAAAAGTGATGCTGAAAGTTTGAAGTGAAGAATAATGCAATTAGCAAATGAAATTCATAAGCTTAAGAAGGAATCAGCAAGAGAAAAGATTATATATATATATATATATATATATATATATATATATATATATATATATATATATATATATATATAATTATTATTATTATTACAAAGACAACATGTACTTACTACCTGGCAAAGATAATATATTAACTAAATAAATCAGAGTTGTTTTCTATGAAAAGAAATTTGTTGCACATATGTACATACGTATGTGTATGTATATATGTATTTGTCTATCTCACATTGTCATGGTGTTGCTCTTTGTCAGCTTGTTGCTTATTTATTATGTGCAACAGCTGGGATGAAGGCAGCACAATTGTTCAGCCAAGCACAACAACAACAACAGGGGATGCAGCAAAGAGAAAAGGAAAAATATCAGAAAAAAATATTTATATGTGTGTGTGTGTGTGTGTGTGTGTGTGTGTGTGTTTGTGAAGGATTAAAAGAAAAAAAAAGAAGAATGGTCTACATCATAATCTTGTGCCGTAAACCAAGAGAAAGAGAGAGCAAATGGGTTTCAAAGGCAAATATTGAACAATAATAGGCAGTGCTATTACACAAGTCAAACAGTTGAAATATGAAATGTGAGGCCAAACTACTGACTGAACCAGATTAAATAAACAAACCTATAAAGCTAACATTTCCACTGGATGTTCTTGACTTTATTTACTGCTGTCATATGAAGTGGCCTTCAGAAACTGATCCACCAAAAGCATACTTGGAAATACTACCATTGTTACATTTAGTTGATGAAATGTGCATGCAAGTGTAACAATAACAACCATGATAGACCATAATCTATCCAATATATCAAACAAAGCCAAAATTCATGATTTCATAGGTCGACTGATACTGTTACAAAAGTATCTGTAATATGTGTGCATGTGTATGGTGCCATCAATAAGTTCAAAGCCTAATGATATAAAAAAAGCATTTATTTTACAAGCATTATTCAATATAGTGTGTGTATGCGTACATATTTTGTAGATATTAATATTCTACTACATAGAAAAAGTATTAATCATTAAATTCAGTTTTTTTTTTTCAAATAAAGGAAAATGTTTCTCGTTAATAAATTTAAGAAGTCTCATTGAAATTCCAGGTTTTCTTTTGACAATTCAACACATCAATGTTGTTGATGTTGATACCACAAAATTTTGGTTGATCTCTTCTACAGCCTTCTTCAGGTGTATAATCCATAAGAGAAAGGTCTTGTTTCTTGGTTGGTCTGAGAACTTTTCTGTATGTCCTTGTCATTTATACACAAATTTTGCAATTGAAAGTGATAGCAGAATTTAAAAAAAGCAACAACAGAAAAACTCATCTATTTCCTTATAATGAAGGCTGTAGAAGGCATTATGGAATTTAAAAGAATCAACACAAAGGTGTTCAGTTGTCCAAATCTTAAAACAGATTTTTGCTATAAAATTTTAACCATTAAGAGTTGTTAAAAGAAACAGATAAAAAAGTGCTTCTTTTGGACAACCATATAAAAAATGTACGTATACAAATGTGTATATAGAAAAAAGAAAAGAAAAAACACAAAACTTCTTATTGTAGAAATTTAGTTTTGTAGATGTAAATATTCATTTTCACTTGCTTATCATTACTTGAGCATTTAAATTCTATTTTTGCAAAAATATCTTCAATTTTGAACCAGTCAGCAAATATCTGTCTTCTGTCTTAACTTCTGGGATGAGAAGTTACTATTTCATACTATTCACATTTCGACTATTCTCCTCATCTTTGTTGTTGTTATCATGTTTTGGCATTTGTGCCATCTGGCTTTTGATCTGAGTAACCTACAGTGAATTCATTAATCTATGGGGATAAACTGTTCTCATTCCACTGCCAATGTCTAGGGATATTTCATCTAGTTCTTATTTTTAATACTATCCAGCCTATGGATTGAACTCAGAATTACTAGGTCACCCACAATTCTCAAACCAACACTTTAATCCACCAGGTTATTGTCGCATAGAACAATTTTCTGTATTGAGCATAAACCCCCATTTTGTGGTTAATTTCAATTATCAATTAAGGAAAATAAAAATATAAAAAAGACAAAAAGAAAATATGAAGCTTCAGGTGAAATATACAGGTTAATTTTTGTCATCAAGAAAATGATTTGCTTGTAACTGAAAAAGCTTAAATGCTAAAACTAACAAAGCTAAGGCTGTTAAAAAACAAAAGAATGCAAAGCTGAAACGTTTTAAAGAAACAAAAATTGTTTCATAATAGACAGAATACTTAGATAATATCAGTGGACATTTGTGTATAAAAGTAAATTCACTAATTTATACCTTTTTTTTTTCCATTTCAGCTTTGTTGATTCAATTTTCAAATAAACAATTTTAAATCTAGATTTCACAGGTTATGAATTTTAATTATAGAGAAATGTGTAACTGTAACCAATATATATATATATATATAAATAAAAGTATGAGGAATTTATTAAGTTTCTATATAATTAAAATTAAATCAGCTGCTAACATTTCTGCCAGTAGTGAACAAATTGAAAGAGTTTAACAATCAAAAATAATTCCTCATTTTAGTTTTGTTCTAATGATTTTTATCAAAAAGATTTCTTAGATAAAAATCATTAGAACAAAGCCTTGAAAGAGACAGAAAGAAAAAAATATTGTCAATCCATTAAAATGTTCTCTTTATTTTCATTAAGTAAGCTATTTAAATTCTAACTCTATATAAAGAAAGAGAAAGATTTAATTGATGTGAAATAAATCCACTAAAAATGGTAAGACTGTTGACCAACAAGATTTAAGAAAGAAGATACTGAAACAAGAAGAATGAAAACAGCTGCCACCAACATTCACTGCTGCTGCTGCTACATTAGTGAATGTGTTGCATTAAGTGCTGCACATAGAAAAATCATAGGAACTACAAGAAATATTGCTGGATAAAAGGGGGGGGGAGCATTCTTAAATATTTTCCAAAATCATTCTGCTAGTCATAAATCTACTGAGAATCTGTCAAATTGATATTTTTTTCTTTATATAAATAAAAGAAGTTTCAAGTTCCCTAACAATCTTAGCAAATGATTTGTAGCAATTAAAAATCATGAATACTCGCTCAATAAGAACTTGATGGATTCTCAGGTCAGACTTTTATTAGTAAAAGAACATTTCAGCAGCAGCAGCACAGTCATCTGTAGCTAATGGGTAAACAGGATCAAAATGTATAGTCTCATAAAGTCTCTGACAATTTGTCTGTTATAAAAACTAACAGTAAATTAGAATTTTAAACCAATATTAATGATACATGCTTCTCAGATCAGCAACTATTCATTGTAGATTCCACTGTTTACGTGCAGGAGTTGATTTTGATGTCATACTTACACAGACATCACTAAACAATTCATAAGTTACATCAATACTTACACATTTTCATAAAGGACCAGACATACATTTAGTATTCATTTGAAAACTTAGTAAAAACTGACAAAAAACAAGGATTAGTTGATATAAGGTAGGCTCATGTTTTCTGTAATATCTAACTGGAGCTAAACTAACTACAGAACAAAAAGACTGCCAAATATAGATGGATATGCATGTATATTTCAAGCTAGTTTGTTTTTTTCCTTCAAATTGATGAAGAACTGTTTAATGAAGTATTTCCCCAAAATTTGTTGTTAGTAAATCTAAAGTTCTCTGGTTAGAAAGAAGTCTCAAGTTAGTAAGAGAAACGACATTCAACTGCAGAAAAAATAAATTTCTTCATAAATTATGAAGAAAGTTAAGTCATTTTTAAGTTAAAAATAGAGAAAAATTTATACAAAAAAAATCTACACAGAAAAAAATGTCAATAGAAAAAAAAGAAAGATGAAAAAAAGAAAGAGAAAAAAACAAAACAAAACAGAAAAGCAGCAGCAAGGAACAAAGGTTGCTTTTTCATTTATACAAACACATTACCAAACAAATCCAACAGCAAAATGACATACTTTTCAACTGTTAATCTTTTGAGAAAAATATTAACACTATAGGAGAAAAATAAATATCAAAATATAAAGCATAAATGATATGAAACATTAGGGAAACATATCAAAGTAGTCGTAATAACCAAATCCAATGTAAATGAATGCAATAAATACAGAAAGTAATTTAACTGTTGTTAATATATTCATTCTAAGATTAATATACATACAAAAATCTATGGTGTTATAAAAAGCAGGAGATATTTTAAAAAAATATACATTGCATCATTATAACAAATGTCAGAGTGCATAAACAGAATGTAAATGCTTCATAAAATCAAATATAATTAAAGCAGTAGATTGAGATCTTCTAAAATTAAACTAATTAAGTTACAATGTCATTCAACATGTAAAGTTGGTCAATGCATCAAGTTGAATTTGAAAGCCTTTTTGAAAAATGAATTTTAAAATTGTTTCATTTTTCAATAAACCACCAGATGGTAAGAAAAGGAAAAGGGAAATGAAAATCACAAGGCTTACATGCAGACAATTGGGAAATAGGGAAAAGTCTCCGTATGGGAAATATGTAATAATATTACTGGACTGTTAAATATCTGGTAAAGCTGACTTGTAGAACAGTGGTTTATACAGTGACAAGCAAAATATATTGAGGATAGGTAACAAAAAAATAAAAGAAATATTAACAAAGAACATTTATCAGTGACTTCTTCAGATATTTCAAAATCAACATTAGTGAATTTTCTCATAAGTAATATTTACTTGAGCATGCATCTTATAAAAATATTATAATTAAAGTTGATATAGGATAAGGAATTACCATTAATTATAGCATTAAAATAAACAAGTTTTTTTTTAATTTGTTGCTGCTACTGCTGTCGTTTTGGAGACCACATTCAAGTTGAAGGAAAAGGAGTGAGATAGAAGAAAGAAAAATTATATATGAAATAAAAAGCAATGGCATTTGGGTAAAAACAAAGGCATTAGAGGAAATTACTTAATGAGACAAGGCATGGAAACAGAACTTTGTGATAGAATTAAAAAAAAAAATTTTTATCAGAAAAATAAATTGAATTTTAAATGATTTACATTATAAAAGAATTTTTTTTAATAATACGTTTAGGTTCAAGTACTGACTGCACAAAATAACTAAAAATATCAGCTGGAAATAAAGTGTATTTGTTTACTATATCTTCAGTTTCATGATTCGTTTCATAAAATAATTTTATAACTTTTAAGATCTACAAGATGTATATCTACAAAGAGTTTCAAAACAATTTGAAAATATAATGTATGCTGGTCAGTGAATGTATGCATTGATGAAAAGGTATGTATACTTAAAAGAACAAAAACTATAGATATGTTGATGGAAAAATGATTGCTAGCTAATTATTTAGAAGTTTCCATTTGCTATTGAAAAGTTACATATATTTGTCTTTTACAATATCTGTACGTCTTGAAGAAATTTTATTCACAAAGATTGTCTACAGTCACGAGATTCTTCTTTTTCTCTCTCTCTTTTTAGACTTGTCAAACATCAAAACTTTTGCTACTTAGATTTTTAAAAAAAATAAAAAAAATTCTTTAAATGAAAGGATGATTGTGAAAAAAAAAATGATTTCTGGAAATTTATCAAATACCTGGAAAAAAAAAATGCTACAATAACTTCTGCATACATATATACATACATACACATATATGCATACATATATACATACACATATATGCATACATAGATAAAGAGAGAAAGAAAAGAATATTAGTGTGAAGAAATTTTTGAGGGCGACAGAAAACAATAAATATGACCTTTTGAGAATTTAAAAAAAAATACTGATATTTAAGTAGGAATAAAGCAGAGCATAAGTTTGGAAAAAAAGACATTCCTTAGTTGGAAATGAAGAGCAAAGAGGAAAAGGCAATTTAGACTAAACACAGAAAAGAAGATAAGAATTAGTGGCTGGTAGGGGGGGGGTTATATAGGTGACTTACTTGTGGAGCCACAAGAAGGATATTTATCCTTGTCTTCAAGACTTCGACTCCGTTTCTCCTCTAAACTCTGTGACCTGACCGTTCCTATAAGAGAACAACCAGGAAATAAACTAAAAATATTACAAATAAAAGAAAATGTCACTCAAAAGCCACCGTTTTACAGATGTTTGGTCTTTAAAAAAAAAATAAAAAAAAAAAAAAAAAAAAAAAATCAACCAAAATAAAATTGAAAAGGATAACTATTTTGTGAAACATTTTTAGAAAAAAGCAAACAAGGATTAAAAATTAGTTTGCCATGAATTTTTATTTCGAGCAAAGAGAAGCATAAAAAATATCCACAAAAAACAAAAAAAAAATCTTATAAAGCTTAAACATTTTATTATTAAAAACTGGACCTAAAGACAAACAGATATTTCTAAATATCCTAAACTATCAAAATGTTGAAATACTATCATTATAAACTAAGAAAAAAATAACATTTCATAATTATTAACCTCTATCTTATTTAAACTATTTACATGTGGACTATTCTCTTCATCTTTGTTGTTGTTGTTATCACAATGTTTCAGCTGTTGTGCCATCCAGTCTTCATCAGGAGTATGTGATTCTGATTAACCTACAGGGAATTTCAAACTGAACCCCTTTATTTAATCTACAGGAGTTCTCATTGCACTGACCATGTCCAGGGATGTCTTTTCTAGTTCTTATTTTTAGTACTGTTCAGTTATTGCTTACCCAGTTTCCTTTGTGTTCAAGCCTAGTCCAGGGATTGAACTCACAATTACTATATCACAAAATTCACAAAGCAATGCTTTAATCTACTAGGCTATTATCCCGTGGGCTGAAATGTTGCAATTAACAACAAAGACAAGGATAATAGTTTGCATGCTAATAATGATAACTCCTCATACCAGAAATTCAGACTGAACTTGAGTGTTAGTTTTAAAAACTGTGATTAGACATTTACCATCTTGAATAGAAATTAAAGATATCGTATTGGCATTCAAGATTAAATTAAATGCAACACCTGAAGATGAGCCTGATGAAAGATTAAGTGTACTAAATACATCAGTAAGTGATTTGACTTCTGAACTTTAATACAAGAAAACTAATTGTGAAATGATGCTTCATTTCATATCCATTTACTCATATTGAGAGAAATGGACAAGAAATTAGTTTTTAAACACATTACTACATTTTCTCAATTATTTCTTTTATTTTTCTTCAAATTTTGCATGAGATTGTCAAAAGGTTTCCAAAATGTATCTGCAGAGACTGCAAAAATAATTCTCAAAACAGCTACAATATAAGAAATGATGAAAAATTCTCAGTTTGATTTACCTCCTAAAACCTGAGCAAATGAACAATTTTTTTTTTTTTGGGAAAGTGCTTTTTGGTTGGACTGAGAACTTTTCACTACCTCCGGCATATTTTTTCAATGTAAATATTTAATAACTTATTATACCATTTACATGTATTTGATTAAATTATTTTCATCTTTTTTTAAAAAATTGTTAAATTTTGTTTAGCAAATATAAGACGACAAATTTTAGTTTAAGAATTAAAATCATATAGAAATCGTGTTTAGAATTCTGTTGAAAGCCAACCTGTAATAATTCATCATATACAAAACCTTGTCATGGCAATGGAAACTTTTTTTATATCAAAGTTCCTATTTTAAATTATTAATGTTCGAACAAAGAAAAGGCAAGATGTTAAAAAAAAGAAAAACCCAAATGATTTGTCTGGAGACTTTAGATGATATGAAAAGCTTATGTTTCTGCATTGTTTGATGATCAAACTGAAAGTGTCATATTTCTTTCTCTTTTAATTAAATGTAAATACATATGACATTTTGATTTATCTTTGTAAAAGAAGAAGTTTGGTTTTTTTAACAGTTTAAACCACAGGTGCATATGGAGGTAAATCAATAAGTTCACACTCTCATCATCATATATATATATATATATATATATATATATATATATATATATAAATCTCTTGCATACAACAAAGATTTATTTAACATAATTCATGTAGATAAAATATACAGTGGAAATTGTAGATAAAAATTCAGTAACTACATGTCAAGCTGTGAACTTATTGATCCGCCATTGTGCAAAACAAAAATGCCATTCATAATTTTGCTATAATTCTATGGCAAAAGTCCCTGGATGTTGCATTTTGTTCAATTCAGATAGCCTAAAAGTTTTTCTCATTGAAAAAAGTAAAAAATTCAAATTATTTTGCCAGAACCTAAACCTGAAGCTCAAAACTATTGTCAATGATTTTTTTTTTTAAGGAATTACTTGGTCCCACCCAATCTTTTTGGCTATCTTTTCTTGCGTAAAACTCTAATGAATCATTTTCAGCACAAATCCTTTTTGCCTATATATATATAGATATGGGAGAGAGAGCACAAACAGTTTCCAATTATCTTGACTGGTTTTTGCCATTAGATTCAAATCTTTATTAGTTGCACTCAATACATTACTTATACACCTTCCAACTGGTGTAAAAAATCTTTTTAAATTGTTTAAATAAATATTAGATACCTCCACTTTTTTTGCTGAAAAAACAGCATAGCATGATGAAAAAAAAGGCCCCAAACTTAATAAAAACAAAGTTTTATTGTCACAATGTTTGTTATTATTAAGAGGAAAGACCAAAGTTTTTTTTATTAAATCTTTTTAATCCTTTCTAACACCTCTGAAATTTTGGTTAAAAATCTTCTTTTTTTTTTTTTTGCGTTAGCAATTGACGCAATATTTATGATTGGTGTTTTAGTGCCCTTTTTCTAGTGAAAAACATTGATTTGGAAATTCTTACAAAAATCAAATAATTGTTGGATTTTAATGAAACTTTCAGGATAAATTAATGAATTTTTTTTTTTTTTTTACATATATTACCTCTCACTTACTTAATGAAATTTTGAGAAATTAAATTTTCATCCCCAAATTTTTTTATTAGTTAAAAAGAGGACTCCTTGGGGAATGTAAATCATCAATAATTTTTTTTTAAACTGCTACTCATTTCCAGAAAATCTGCTAAGAATCATAAAATAACAAATGCAATAAAACTGCTATTATTTAATTAGAAAAACTATTAATTGCTTTTATAAATAAGATTTATAAAGGACACTATTGTCTTAAGAAAAGAACATTTTAAAATTTTAATTATGATAATTTATTATAAAAATTAAAAAAAAAATCTTTTAAAATTCTACATTAGTGTGATATTGTTATTAAGTGAAAACTATATTTACTAATCAAAAATTGAAAAGATTAATACAAATCATTTTGCACCAAGATTTTTAAAATAATTAAAAATTTTTTTATGTATATAAAACATTATGTAAAGTGCCCATTTTTGAAATTATGGTAGACCATACATGACATTATCAGAAAATAAGAGTGATGACTATAGTAAATTTAAAGTCAATATTCCTAAGATTAGATTATGGAGAATATTTTCCAACATTTTTAAGATTATTGAGTATTCAAAAATTATATAAAAAAGGCACACGTCATTTTCTTAAATTGTGTTTTTACAGATAAAGTCTCTGTAGAACAATAATCATTATGTCATAACCTGTCATCACCTCATCAATTACATAAAACATAGTGATATTGGTTAAAAACACAGCTACTGTTTTGTTTTAAAAATACATTTCTGGGTTATTTTAAACTTAACGTAAATAATATTTTTTTTCAAATCAGATTAATTATACTTTAAATCAGCTAATATTCATCAAATAAAGTTTCAGAAAAGAATATTTTATTTTTGGAAGATTTTTTGATACAGAGAATTACTTTGTGATAAAAGACAAAAAAAAAAGGGTGCTACTCAGCTATTTTAGCAAAAAAAATAAAACAAAAAAACAAAAATAGATCCCAATCAATATAATTTTTGTTTGAAACACACTAGAGTATTTTGCTTACTGGACTTAGTAAATTTAATCCTTTAGCTTTTTAACTAAAGCTAAAATGAAAGCTTCAAGAAAGCTTTTTCAATTATGAAAATTCCATTTTAAACCTTAGATATCACAAATTAGTAGAGGTACCTAATAAATATGAATATGTAAATTTAACTGAAATATAAATATATTTACTTAGTTAAAAAGTAATGTAAACTGATGAAAATAACTTAAAAATGTTTAAGTTAATTTTTTTAATTATGACAAAAAATTATTTAAAAACAGACACAAAATCAAGTGAATTATGTAAATGCTGTCAACATTTTTTTTTCAGTACACAGCTATTAAGAACTAATGTTTCTTGTTCTATGTAATGCATATTTTTATGATTATTAATAATTACATGCAGTAAATAGGTTAAGTAGAAAACAATAAAGCAACCAGGTAAAGATTTGAAAAAATGCTGAGATTAGTTTATAACAACAGATGCAAAATAAAAAGATTTATACTGAAATTCTTTAAATATGAAAACAAATGCTTTTTCTTTTCATTAGATATTCAATAGTTATGATTATAGTATATTTGATTTAAAATGTCATGTTTGCAGACATCTTGAAATGATGTGTTGTTATGTAAGCATGATGTTGATGATGATTAGTAGTTTATGCACTAAGAACATTAGAATTTAGATTGCTTTCAAATCTATGAACTTATCCTGAAAAACGTCATTTCAAATTGTAATATATTTTCTAATGCTCAATTCAGGTGTTTAACTAAGGTATTTACCCAGAAAGTCAAAATGTTTACATACAAATATTGAATATTAGCAAATAGATATGCAAAACATGGGTACCTTGAGTAATCAAAAAAACTTATCACTTGGTAAATAATTGAGTAGATACCAGTGGCCTAATGATTAACATTGAAGAAAATGAAAATGGCAAGCAGGGTTCAAATTCTGGATGAGATAGTTGTATTCACTTCATACTAATGCCATTGGGAAAGGCATGAACCCATCTCTTAACTATAGATTAAATAAGGTGGACTGAGCTCTCTAGCATTGGCTGTCTAGGAGAAGGACAACTGAATTCAAAAGAGATAGCATCAGGAAACCATTTCACTATTTTTTCCCAAAACTAACATGGCAATATACAGCTTATAGATATTT